CGGACACTGCCCGCAGCTGCCCCCGGGAGCGCGTTTGGAGGACAGCTCCCCTGTAAAAACCACCGGGTTTTAGTGATCTTTGAGGGGAGCTGTCAAAAAAAATGGTTGTTTTTCTGTCCGAGCGCTTCAGGTGTTTGAGGACACAAAGTTCTGCTGGCTGGTAGCTCACAGCATGTTCTGCCTTGCATCTTCTCCCTTCACTGGTTTGTGTTTATCCAAATGTGCTGTTTCTGTAATACCGTTATTTGGGGAACAAGTTAATAGTTCTTGTAATGGCAGTTCATCTTTCCAGGCCTATCCACACCAAAAAGAGTTCTTCAGAATGTCTGAAGTTGGAACTTCGCTTAGGTTTTCTTTTTTCTTTCTTCACGAAAATGTAAAATGTACTTTTTGTAGATAGTGAGCAGCAAATTGCTCACTGGCAAATACCTACTGTGTGTCCTAGCAGTAACCAGTGAAGACCGACTCACTTCAGTAAAGAACAGAAAGAGGCAGTGTGTTTAGTAGTCAGACCTGTGAGATACCCACCACTGATTATGCCAGTACATTAAAGGAACAATTTTAAAACTCTGACATGAGATTCCTCCAGGGTGATAATACTCCAGAGAAATACTTGGGAACTGCAGCAGTAGTGTTGTCTGCTATTTTCAAGCTCATGTCCGTGGTGCTTGGCAGTCAGAAACTTTTATGGTGTTTTGAAAAGTTGTTGTGATTAACCGGAGTGCACGTTAGTAAGTGAGAAATGAAAGAAATTAATTTTTTAGTTATTTGGAGCAGTAAGGAAATTCCTGGGAAATAGTTACATTGCAGAGTTTTCTTTCATAAAAATAGATCCATATTTTGTTTATCTTTACAGATGTCAGCATCTCTGCATCATCTTCTCTACAAAGCAAAGGGAATCTTTCCTTATTAGGAAATAGGAAGCTCTTTTTTGACACTCATGCTCTGGTGTGCCTTTTGGAAGAAAACGGTAATTTGTTAGAAATATGTAACTGTTCTTGATGTCACTTCATTGGTGGTATTTTAGTTTATGAAGTTTGATTAATTACTTCTCCTTCACACCTAATATTACAACTTCAGTTTTACAAAATGGTTTCTATAAATATTAGGTAGGAACATGCAGATATTTTCTCCTTTTAAAAGGATACTATGAGCTTATGTAACTTTGATTGGCGTCATTTATTATCTTCCTGCTAATTAAAAATAAAAATTCAATTCTGAAATTTGAGTGAAAAGAAAGATTCCAAAGCAACACTAAAACGTGTTAATTGGATTATTATACATTTAGCAATACCACCTTGAAAATGTGACAATAGGATTAAATATAGACTATTATTCTATAAAATTACAGCTCTTGGGATAGAATGTAGAATACTCTATAAAACACAGCATTTCTTATGCCAAAACATAAAATGAGGGTGCAGATTACTTGGATTCACATTAATGTTACTGAGGTCAGACTCAGAGTGAAGATATATACAGCTGAGTTGGTTTCTAACAGACCCCTGTCTTTGAAAAGGAGAGCTCCCAATCCTTTTTTCCCAGCCATGTGGTTTCATCTCTTTCTTGTGCCAACCTAGTTCTCAAATAGTAATCTGATAAGTTATTTTAATGAGTTTACTGAGCAGTTCCAGGAGCACCGGATCGCACACGAGGAGGAGTGAGAAGGGAGAAGGAGCATCTCCTCCTCTTAGTGGTGGCAAGCTATTAGATCAGCTCAGCTGTTGGAAGTGACTCACAGACCCATATGTGTTTTCTAGCACTTGACTGCTAGTTAATTTGAAACTATCGTGCTTTTGTAACATTCTTCCTAGTTAAAATTTGTTTTTTAAACCTTTATCCTTCTTTTTGTCTTAAACAAAATATGACAGTATTCTGGGGAGCCGTGTTTTACCCTTGGCCATTTGAATTGTTTACATGATAGCATTGTTAGATTAGTTTGTAATGTATTCAGTTTAAAAGGACCCAAGAGGTTTTATAGGGACTCAGAGGCTGGTAGGCTTAAACTAGAGCAGTTATGTCTGTTTTGAGTTATTGGGCTTTGCCTATTTTGTGTGATGCTATTTATAGTATACTGAAAGTAGGTTTCTTCTCTTAAAGGTCAGGATTCCTGCTCATAGAAATAACTACATGTGAAAGACTACATTCCATAATATTTCTGGAAAAGTAATTTCCAACATGGCTTGCTGGTACTGTGATATAGCTATATATAAAAGCGGTTATACTGTGCCACAGACACAATTTTGGAAATGCTTGGGTGTATCAACTGGTTGTTGACATTTTATATATCTAAAGTGGATAGAGAGGAGTATTTTTTTTTTTCATAAATGATTTTTTTAAAAAAATCTAGTAATTAGCAAGAGGTATCTCTGTAAACTGTCCAGGCTTTTTCCTTTTTTTTTTTCCTGAATGTTGCTGCATTTTGTTTTGCTTAGGGTTCACTACGCAGCAGTCGGAGATCATTGTTTCTGCCTTAGTGAAAATTATGAACACCAACCTGGATATGATTTACAAGGACATGGTCACCAAAGTACAACAGGTTAGGTGGTGGAAGGTGGTGAATTTAAAACAAATCAAAACCTAGTACGCCAGTTAATGAAATGCACCTTGATATTTTGTTTATTACCATTAGACACCATATTTGAAAAATCTGAAGAACAAGCATCCTTGCATATCTTCTAACTAATGAGTTCTGTCATCATGACATTCATATTATATTAAATTTGAGTTGAATACTTTTTCTTATAAGATGATTTTAAGACTTGGTGTAGCTGTATACATTGGTAGCTTTCAGGAATGTAATATTTTGGACGCTAAGATTGAGATCTGTCTCTTTGATGCATACTTCATTCACAGCACACACTACACCTATCCAGTACCTGCGTCTTAGTGGGAGGAAGTGAAGAAAAGTTCGCTGGAAATAGACTGATAATGCAGGGCAAAACCAGAGATCCTTCCTGGCTACCAGGAAATTGCACAGAACTGAGCTGAATTGTTAGCTTTGGTGTTTAAGGGAAATACTGTTTTGATGAAAAAATGTGCTTGGAAGCAAGGTCTCTTGTTCTAGTGTTGACTACTTTTTTCGGGCCCTTTGTCGGATGATGCAAAGATAGATGAGAATAAGGAACCAGACATGACAGGGTTGAATGTTGCCATGTCTGATCTTTAGGCAACTGGCTCCAGAAATGAAACTGAAGTTCAGAGTAAAGGACAATCGCCTCATGTGAAACTTGAGCGTCTTAGAATGAGATTGACAGTATGTAGTGTGCTAGGATTTGCTGATACCTAAGCTAGGCAAACAGATAATGCAGGCAAGAAGCATAACCCAAGTACCATCCTCTAGGGCTGCTCCTTGAGTCCAGGAACAGCCCAGGCCCAAGTCACCTTATGAGCATAAGCATTTCACTCATTTCTTGGTTAGTCAGCTACTCTTAAAACATGAGAAAACAGTGTCTTCTGCCTTCTTTGTATGGTAGTCTTGTCAGTCGGTAATTTTATCTAAGGAGGCTTCAGCCCATGCTTCCTAGCTCTTAGACTCCAAGCAAAACAGAAATGGGAGTGTTGCATTCTGCGTCATTTTTTTTCCACAGTCCATCAAGGAATATAGCTTCAAAAGGGAGCATTTCTATTGTGGTTGGTTGTATTTTACAACACGCAATCACTGCATCTCTGCTTTTTTCTCCGTTTAGTTTTTTTTAATGAAAGTAGGCCTTTTTCCCCTGTGCCTTGTACTGAATTAAGCCTTGCTGCTGATGTAGACATTCTCTGAGACTCTGCTAGATCAGGCCCTCAGATGACTTTCTGCCATTGAGATTCAGAGGAGGACAGGTTTGTATGACATACTAAGCCATGCAGCTGTGGCAAAATAGAAGCAGATCAGGTGTTGTGTATGAATTTCAACTAACATGGTATACCTGGGCTTCCTTGTAGAAGAAAATGATGAAGAGTAGAGGAGGAGTTATATGATGGTGTGTTTTTTGTTTTCCTTAACTATCTAAATTTCACATCATTCTTTGGTGTCGCTGTTACTCTTAGGCCTTAGTTGAGCATGTAAAAGATGGAAGTATTAAATTACACTGGGTAGATAAAGCCTTAGAAAAAGACATATATGCATTGGTACATTTGAGGAAGAGGAATAATATACAAGAGATTGTTCTCTGGCCTACTGAGATTCATGAAGATGGGAAAGATCAAAAGTAGGCTGGAAACACAAGAGAACAGGAGAAATGTCCATGATGGTACTTTTTCTGTAGATTTTTTGTAATATGTCCATTACGCCTACCCTTTTTTTTAGCATGTGGTCAGATAGCCTGGAGAGGCATTGCCAGATGTCTTAAATTGTAACATTTGTAAGTAAGAATGGCATTTCCTGACAAAAATGAAGCTGAAGCGAGATGTCTTAAATTGTAACATTTGTAAGAATAGCATTTCCTGACAAAAGTGAAGCTGAAGCACCATGTCAGATTTGTAGTGTGCTGTTAGTCAAGAATCTTGAGCAAGACACTATTTGTTAGAGGGAGATGTCAAGAAAAGGGAGTGACTGTAGGTGAATGGTGTTCGATCCAGAAGAATGTCTACAGTGTTTTCCATCCTTGAAAATTGCAAAGGATTTTTTTTTGTCTTCTGCAACAGAAGAGCATGTAGAAGTGTGAGTATAGCACATGATACTGTTTAACCAAGTAAAGAAGCAGTGAGCTCCCATGCAGGGCAGGGTGAGAAAGGGAGCAATTACACAACAGTGCATTTGCACTGGGGAGTCTTGGCCTGAAACCACCTCCCTCATTTAGCACAAGAACGTCTCAACTATCCCTACTGCCTTTGTTAGCTTAAGAGTTGAAATACTTGGAAGGAACGGTTTCCCAAGCTATTCATTAAGCCGTTCTACTTTCTGTTAGTACTAACTTACTTATTTTGACACTTTGTCTTAATTTACCCTGTCTTCTGAAACTAGGATAATAAATTAAAAATTGTTTGATTAAACATGTCGGGGAATGAAAATAGCCCATCATATTTGTGTGCAAACAAAAAAAAACCGTAATAGTTACAATGTGACCCGAGGTGTTTTTGTTTTTGTTCGTCTTTTAAAGGAGATTGCTCTTCAACAAATAATGTCCCATATTGGTGGCGTGAAAAAGGATATGATTATTCTGGAAAAAAGTGAATTTTCAGCACTACGTTCAGAAAATGAGGTAAAAATCAGTATTCTGTGAGAGGCTATTCTAGTATTTTTAAGGCCTTTATCTCAGGGGCCAAGCAGCTGCAGAGCAGCTGGGCAGAGAAGGACTCCCTGCTGGCACCAGGGTGATCAGGAGGCAGCAGAGGGCCCAGGTGGAGGGAGGTGACACTGTCCCTCTGCTCAGCCCTGCTACATGTGGCAGTGCTGGGTCCAGAGCTGAGCTGGTCCCTACAC